AATTAGCCAAAATATTTTACCGCAATTTTCTTTTTCTAGCAATTTATCATGGCAGTATTTAACTAAAAGGTTAATCCTCCCTCCAGCCAATAGGACTTCAACATCAATTAAAACAATTAAGATATAAGACATAATAGGATCTTCAGAAGCCTATGTTTCTCGGTCACGTAACAAGACCAATCAAAATGAAAAAATAAAGTGGGGAGGGGGAGATTCAAATGCTGCCATGAATAATAGCCAGGAAAAGAAAATGTGGGTAAGTATGGTTATATTTTCCTTATTCCTGGCTAATAATGGTAGCATTTAACTAATGGGGAGTATCCAAGTAGTAAATAAACACAGGGAGGGGAAGTGTATACCAAAGAAATGTATTCAATACGAGAATATGGGAATCAGAGACAGAAAAAACAGCCACTCTATAATAACGGACAAAAGTCTTCAGCGAGAAACAATCTGCGACTTTACAAATGCAGTCTGCCAGAACACCAGCTTCTGCAGCCCATTAGGTAGAGATGGATATATTAGGGTGAGCATGGATACCATTAGCATCAGGAACACTATGACTTTGTAGGCCCTAGAGATAGTCATCACTGTCCAAGAATGAAGAGTGAAAACAGAAGCTGCTTCTCCATTATGAGAACCCCAAGGAACAATGAAGTTGTATAAATGTTTGTCACACATCTAGCCGAAACCAAAGCCAAGAGAAGCAGAGTCTTCTGTAAAAGATACAAGAGAGAAAGTTTCTCCAAAAGTTCAAATGGAGCTTTTATCAAAGCATACTAGATTAATGGACCGTGAGTGGGAACAGTGGACATTAAGCTTACTTAGACTTGGACCTTGATTGCAAAAATCTCAAGACCTGTAAAATAGATGGAGACTTCAAGGACGCACATCTATATTCAATTAGTTCGCAAAGTAATTTAAAAACCTTGTGGTTAACACTGGAAGAAGAGATCTTACACAAACACAACAAAGTTGAGTACCACTGGTTCTGGTAAACCCTAGGGAATCAGAGTTTGCCTCTCAAGAGCCATTCCTGTAGTCTGAGCTTGTGAGAATTTGGATGAAGAAGGAGACCCTGTGAAAGTATGTTGTCGGAAACAGGAATCTCCCATGACTGATCTATCATCAGTTTCGTCAGAAGGAAAAACCATGAACTTCGAGGACAAAAAGGAATCTCCCTGGAGATCTTCCTCAGAACTGTGTAGCAGAAGCGGATTGGAAAAAAAGATGTAAGCAAGTTCCAATTGCCACTCCACTGAAAGAGCATTCTGGGCTAGGGATTTGGGATGCAATCTTTGTGACATGAAGCATTGGACTTGTTCATTCTGAGCAGTGGCCATGGGGCCATCTGGAGAATACCCACTTCCAGACCAATAGGCTGAACACCTAACTGCAAATCTTTTATTATGTATCCTCCACCTGTTGCCTGCTGAGAAAATTGTCAATTATGTTCTCCGCCCTGGAAAATAGCATATAATTCTGTCACATTCTAATGAGCCCAGGTAATGATAGGCTGAATTTCCTTCATCAGTGATTAGCTCCTGGTACCGCCCTGATGACAGATATATGCTGCAGCATCTTAAACGTCCAGCCTCAATTTGACCAACTGTTTTGAAGAGAAACAGGGCGAGAAAGGCTGCTTGTAATTCCCTTATGAAATGTTTGAAGGGAGGTGACGAGTCAGGGGGCCATTGGACTTGCACAAAGTGTTTGCCAAAGTAGACTCCCTATCCAAACTAACTAGTGTCTAACTAATGACCAACCAATAGATCTATTTTAGAGGGTAACTTCTAGAAATTGTCATATGAAAGCCAAACTCCTTGGAATGCGAAGAATCCATACCTATTCTTGAGAGCTGGTATGGAAAATGTCCAGGAAGTATCTCTGCAGGCCAAAGATTCCACTGGACCCACCGGAAATGGTAAAAGGTGCCTATCAGTCTCATGAACTCTTTCGCTGATGTTCTGCATTACAAGTATCTTAGCTGATTCAGAAGGCTGGTTTTCCTCTCATGAGTGGGAATTACCATAACCATGTTGCTATTGAAATTGGCGCCTAGGAATATCAATTGTATGGAAGGCTGTAACTGCTTTTTCTCAAGATTGGTTAACCACCTGGGATCGATGTTGAAGCATCATATTATAGTCTGGAGCCACACTAGGATGATGTGCAGGTAATTCAAAATGGCCACGCTTTCCTTCCTGAGTAATGCTAATATGGTGACAAGTACCCTTAAAAATGTTCTTGGAGCTGTGCTGAACCCAAAAGGTAGAGCTTGAAACTGGAAAGGATGGTTGCACAGACAGAACTTAAGGAAGCTCTGGTGAGGACGGGGGATTGGAATATGGAGAGAAATACTGAGATCAGCCATTTTCTCTGATGTACTACAGGCAAAGTCGAATGCAGGGACTCCATGCGAAACTTCCTTATACGTAGCAGAATATTGAGGTGTAATATTGGTCTCCACTTTCCTCCTGGCTTTTTTACCAAAAAGATAGGCGAGTAAAATACCTGAAATCTTTAGTGTCTCGGGACAAATATAATGACTTTTTGCTAAAGAAGGGAATTGATGTATTGATTTAAAACTTTTTTTTTCTATGAATTGACAAGACAAGACATGAAGGAGGAGGGGCCTCCTCAAACTCCAGGGTATAGCCTATTGAAACAACCACTCTTACCCACATATTCAGAATTTCTGCCATCTGGAAATGAAGCAATCTTGCACCCACCAGAGTAGTCTGGGTTAACACACCTTCAATACTGTTTTTTGGACTGAAAGAAGGAGGAGGGAGCCTTGATCCTAGATGACTTGCTGGATTGACCACTTCTCCAATTAGAGGATCTGGTGTATTCAGCCTTGGTATGTAAGTTTTGCTGTCTCTGTAAGGACGATGATCCTGCAGAGGTCTCCTGGGTCCCTTATCCTGAGGAAGAAGAACTCTTCTGACGTCTGACCCCTTCTAATGCTTGCCAAATAGAACTTCTTCCAAAAAAGGAATAAAATAGATTATGTTTAGAAGATGTATCTGCTCCCCATGATTTTAACCAAATGGCTCTTCTGGTTGCTATGGAAAAGGACTTCACTTTCGAGAGGACCATAATGAAATCAGTAGAGGCCTCTAAAAAACACTCACTGGCTAGTTTGACATCCTTTAAGGATTCAACGATATGGCATCTTCTCACACCTTTGTCTAGGTCGTCTTCAAAATCTAGAATCCAGGATTTTAGGGCTCTAGACATAGCCTAACCCTGATGATCACCTAACCCTGCAGCCAGTTTTAAAGGTGAGCATAGGAAAGAAGGAAGCATTACTATCAATGGGGAGAGTGGAATGCCATCTTGAATTACAAAGACAGAGAGCTGATGTAGTTTCACTGGAGAGGAACTTTGGGGTCTATAGCCCAAAATGTTTTTGACCAGGTGAGCAGATGTGGAGTTGTTGTTCTCTGCCCAGTCTTTTCACTTATCAGCAGAAATAAAATGGTGTAGATAGTGGCAGTAATGTGGTGCTCAATTGTTTTCCTATGTCTCTATCTACATATAGTCATCCCCTCCCTACTGTGACTTAGTGAGGAGACTGTAACAGATCCCCTGGCACCCAGACTGGGCACCTCCGCCAAAGGACCGCTTCCGAGCTGGACCAAGGGACAAAGCGCAGCACTTCTTGCCCTCAGTCGCTGTAGCTTGAGTGGAGCCCTGGAGCTGAAGGGGAAAATTAGCTCTGACACCTCCAGGCACTGGACGACACTCAGTCCTGGGAACTCGGGAACCGAATGGGGAATTAGCTCTAGTCCTTACAAAGACTTTCCCCGTTGAATATCCTGCAAGCTGGAACAGCAAATAGAAACATAGAAACATAGAAACATAGAATGTGACGGCAGATAAGAACCATTCGGCCCATCTAGTCTGCCCAATTTTCTAAAAACTTTCATTAGTCCCTAGCCTTATCTTATAGTTAGGATAGCCTTATGCCTATCCCATGCATGCTTAAACTCCTTTACTGTGTTAACCTCTACCACTTCAGCTGGAAGGCTATTCCATGCATCCACTACCCTCTCAGTAAAGTAATACTTCCTGATATTATTTTTAAACCTTTGTCCCTCTAATTTAAGACTATGTCCTCTTGTTGTGGTAGTTTTTCTTCTTTTAAATATAGTCTCCTCCTTTACTGTGTTGATTCCCTTTATATATTTAAATGTTTCTATCATATCCCCCCTGTCTCGTCTTTCCTCCAAGCTATACATGTTAAAATCTTCTAATCCCTCTAATAACTGGACGACACACAGTTTGGGAGTGTTTAATGGGACACACTGGCCTTTTATACAATTTTTCCAGGCCAGAGGAACACCCCATGGACCTGATGGGGCACAGAAACAGAAAGGACATAAACCAATCAGAACAAACATACAGTCTGTGACACGCCCATGTACAGCACACAATCCCTCCCCTCTGCTTAGGAGAAAATTTAGTAAAGTCCTGTAAGTAACTCAATTATCTCCTATCAGAAAAACCACATTTTCACAAAGTTCAGAAAGTACCCCAAAATCCAACATATCCCCATAAACACATCCCCTGATAGCCCAGATCTGGGTGAACAACATATCCAAAAATCACCCACATCGGTTCAGGGGTTCAGGAATTTCCTGCAAGTCGTAGTTTTGACCGATCGCAAGCATGGGCCCATGCCCAAAACAGTTCCAGGGAAATCAGTGCTAACAGTCGGTCAAGTTTGGTAGTCTTTTACAGGTTTCCCTGCAGGGCCCATAGTCTGTGGCAAGCAGGATCCTCCAGGAGCTCGTGGCAAACTCACTTGAAAAGTATTTGTGTCAAGGTGTGTGTGTCTTCCAGCGGGTGCTGGAAAAAGAACTTTAAATGCTGCTCGCGAGTGAGACATAAAGAGCAGACAGCCGGCAGGAGGAGCCTGCAGCGAGTGCACCGAGGATGGAAGTCTCTGTCCCTGTCTGACAGCCTTCACACACAGGAAGCATGTGACCTGGCAATCAGGCAGAGCAGGGCAGCCCACACGGGTCTTCCGAAGTCTTGCTTCCTGTATGTAAAGTGCTGTCAGGCAGGGAGCCCTGTGAGAAAGCTGCTGGGAAGGAGCAAGGTAAGCTCAGTGAGCAGAGGCACCTAGGCATTTCATGTTAATTGTACTGATTCTTAGAGTGTTTATATTTGAGGGTGTAGTTGTGAGTGTGTTTGGTGTGTATTTTTGTAGTGTGTGCCAGTATGGATCAATGTGTGTGTGTGTGTTATTATGGATCAGTGTGTGTGTGTGTGTGTGTCAGTATGGATCAATGTGTCAGTATGGATCAATGTGTGTGTGTGGGTGTGTCAGTATGGATCAATGTGTGTGTGTGTGACAGTATGGATCAATGTGTCAGTATGGATCAGTGTGTGTGTGTGTGTGTGTCAGTATGGATCAATGTGTGTGTGTCAGTATGGATCAATGTGTCAGTATGGTTCAATGTGTGTGTGTGGGTGTGTCAGTATGATCAATGTGTGTGTGTTTCAGTATGGATCAATGTGTCAGTATGGATCAATGTGTCAGTATGGATCAATGTGTGTGTGTGTCAGTATGGATCAATGTGTGTGTGTCAGTATGGATCAATGTGTCAGTATGGTTCAATGTGTGTGTGTCAGTATGGATCAATGTGTCAGTGTGGATCAGTGTGTGTGTGTGTGTCAGTATGGATCAATGTGTGTGTGTCAGTATGGATCAATGTGTCAGTGTGGATCAGTGTGTGTGTGTGTCTCAGTATGGATCAATGTGCCAGTGTGGATCAATGAGTGTGTATGTGTATGTCAGGGAGTGTGTATGCATTAGTGATTGTGTGCCAGTGTTTGTATGGGATGCATCATTAGTTTGTGTGCCAGTGTCTGTTGATGAGTACATGTCAGTATGTATGGGCATCAGTGACTACACGCCTGTGTGTGCCAGTGAGTATTTATTAATAAAAAAATCCATGTTTTTTTTTTAAATTTAAAATAAATTGAATCTAAAAAAAATTATATATAAATTTTATATAGTTTTGCTTTATCTGTGTGATTTGGTGATTTGTGGGAGTATTATGCATCTATATATTTGCACAAATGTATATTAATATATGTGTATTATTTCAAAATATATATATGTTCAGCCCCCACGGTGATCGGCTGCCTGAGAGAAGAGGCAGGCATTGGGCTCAGTGAGGACTGAGGCAGGCAGGCAGGCTGCTGGGGGCGGCCAGCTCATTTATTGCAGAGGGAGGGAGATGGGTGGCCGGCCCATGGAGAGCTGTGGTAGAAAAGGTGGGCAGCTGACGAAGGGGAGCAACCGGGTAATGCAGAGCAGAGGCAGGTGGGCGGCTGACTTAGTGCCGTGGCGAAGGAGCTGTAATCTCCCTGCTCTGCTCCCTTGCGCGGCTTGCAGTGATTCACAGAGCTGGGTTATGATGTCACTCTGGCCCCTGGCTCACTAAACAGTGCGTGAGAGGGAGCCGAGTAGGGAGATGACAGCAGTGCTACTGGACCCCTGGGAAAGCATATTCTCTCCAGCTCTCTAAAGGTAAATTTAAATAAAAGAGTAATTACTTGTGAGTGAGTGTGTGTGAGTGTGTGTCTGTCGGAGTGTTGGTCTGAGTGTCTGTCTCTGTGTCTGTCTGTGAGTGAGTCTGAGTTGGTCAGTAAGTGTGTGTGTTCCCTCCAATCACATGGGAAAGGGTTTTTTTTTTTTTTTTTACTCACCTTTTTTCCACGCTGTGGCTGGCCCCACCTCCACGGCTGAAATCCTCAATCTTGACAATCTCAGCCAATCCAGTGCTTCCTCATAGCAAAGCATTGGGAGACTATTGCGCATGCATGGCAAAATGCCACTGCGCCAATTTACCTTCTCATAGAGATGCATTGAATCAATGCATCTGTATAGGGAACATTAACGTAAGGGCTGCACAGTATGAAGCACTGACCCAGGAAGCACCTCTAGAGGCTCTCTGAGTGACTATCGCTAGAGGTGTCACCAGGCAGCAATGTAAACACTGCTTTTTGTCTGAAAAGTCAGTGTTTACATTTAAGAGAGTTCAGGGTCAGGATATAGACTTCAGAGCAACTACATTAAGCTGTAGTGGTTCTGGTGATTATAGTGTCCCTTTAAGAATTGTATTTTTGACGTTGATTTCTCTGGCTCCTAACTTATCTAGCTGGCTGCTAGATTCCAAACTAATTTGTAAAACTGTGTGTGTGTGTGTGTACGTACACACACACACATTATACACATATGTTAATAGACATATGCATACATAACACACATTTGGAGATTACACACGTATATAAATGTAACAAGGGTTTTACATTTTTCAAAGGGTTATTCACTAAATTTCTCATTTTAGAAAGTGAAAATCTAAATTGCGTAATTTAGACCAAATAGCGGATTTGAAAAATCCAAACTTTGCCATAGTGACAGCTTGAATATTGTAGCCTAATTTTTGAAATTTAACAAATTTTTGAAACAAAAATTATTAGTTTAGTCGATAACCCTGCCCTTCTCTCAGTCTTTCATTCCCTGGTATCAAACTATATCCAACGCAGAGTGCACTCATAGGATTGAGGACTAAACGAATTAAGATTAATTTAAATTAGACATGAAACAGCTATCAGTCAATGACTATTCAAGTTTTGGGGATGAAACGGGTAAATAATTTTCAATCCTTTGTGTTTTTCCACCTGTATATCTGTCACTGTTGGCACAATTAATGTTAGGGCTGGTGCATGGGCATCCGCATGGGGGGGGCAAAGGGGGGCACTTGCCCCCCCCCCCCGGATTTTTCAGCATGTTCTGCTATTTTTCGTGTGATTGAAAATGAACTGCAATACCGGTGCCGGCCAGTAGGTGGCGCTGTGTATGGAGAGAGACAGGGATAGGAAGCTGCATCTTATCTCTGCTTCTCTCTGCTGATTGAAACCGCAGGGGAGCAACACATGCAGCCAGAGACAGCCTACAGATCAGGTAAGTGGGGGATGGGGTGGGGGTTTGAGATAGCCTATAGATTTTTTTTTTGGGGGCAGCAGCCTATGGGGGGGGCAGCAGCCTATAGATTTGGGGGGCAGCAGCCTATAGATTTTAGGGGGCAGCAGCCTATAGAATTAGGGGAGTGAGGGATGGGGGAGGGTTTGAGATAGCCTTTAGATTTGGGGAGGCAGCAGCCTATGCATATAGATTTGGGGGTAGGGCAGCAGCCTATAGATTTGGGGAGGCAGCAGCCTATAGATTAGGGAAGTGAGCATAGGCGTGCGCAGCCTATTGCATTAGGGTGTGCACCCTAAAGCACAAACACACGCCATGTGTATATGTATATGTATGTGTGTGTGTGTGTATATGTATATATACACACACACACACTGCTGTGTGAGGGTGCTGGTAGTGTGCTATGTGGGTGAGGGTGTTGTTTGTGTGCTGTGTGTGAGGGAACTGGTAGTGTGCTCTGTGTGTGTGTGTGAGAGGGTGTTTGTGTGTGCGTGTTTGTTCGGGTCCTGTTAGTGTGCTGTGTGTGTGTGTGTTGTGTGTTTGTCAGGGTGCTGTTTGTGTGTGAGTGTGCTGTTTGTGTGTGGGTGCTGTGCGGGTGTTGTGTGTGGGTTTTCTGTGTTTGTGAGGATGCTGTTAGTGTGCTGGGTGTGTATGGGTGCTGTGTGTGCGAGGGTGATGTATGTGTGTGGGTGCTGTTTGTGGGCTGTGTGTGCTGTGTGTAGGTGCTGTGTGTGTGTGCTGTATGTTTGGGTGGAGGTGGGGGCAGATAAGTTAATATCCCAGTCCTGCTGCCTTCCCTGGTGGTTCAGTGGAGAGTGAACTCTAGCCCGGGTTCTCTGCTGCCTCCCTCCATGCTGCTGTGGACCGGTGAGGTAGAACTTTGATCTCCCCACCGGCCCATGGAGGCTTAGACCAGAGCCGCCGCTCGGATAGCGTCGGATCTGCATGAGCCGACCGGGGAGATCCAGAGATCTCCCCTGCCGGTCTCAATCCATTGGCGTGCCGCGGGGATTAGGGTGTGCCCATGCACACCCGACACACCCCGTGCGCACGCCTATGGAAGTGAGGGTTGGGGGAGACAGCCTACATGAAGAGTCAGCAAGGAGCAGGAAGGTAAAGTAAGAAAAGGAGAAGGAACAGAAATGAGCAGGAAGGGACATCAAGGAGCAGAAAGGGGCAGCAAGGAACTGGAAGGGACAGCAAGGAGCACAAAAGGTAAAATAGGAGAAGGAGCACAAAGGAACAGAAATGAACAGGAAGGGTCAGCAAGGAGCTGGAAGGTAAAGCAACACAACGGTAAAGTAGAAGGAGCAGAAAGGGTCAGAAATGAGCTGGAAGGGGCAGAAGGAGCACAAAGGTAAAATAGGAGAATGAGCAGGAAGGGCCTGCAAGGAGCAGGAAGGAGCACAAAGGTAAAGGAGCAGAAAGAATCAGAAGGAGCACAAAGGTAAAGTAGGAGAAGGAGCAGAAAGGGACAGCAAGGAGCACAAAGGTAAAGTAGAAAAAGGAGCAGAAAGGGTCTCCAAGGAGCAGAAAGGGATCAGAATGAGAAAGGAGCAGAAGGGCGCAAAATAAGCAGAAAGTAGCAGAAAGGTAAAAGAGCAGAAGGGGCCAAGGATAGAAAACAGTGTCAGAAGAAAAAAAAAAGACTGTCAAATGAAGGAGAGGAAAATGAAATTGGAGCAGGAAGGACAAATGAAGTGAACCCTCCACTTTATTCTGGACACCACATCATAAGGCTTTGGTACCTGGGCCAGGCAGGGAAACGCTGGACCTTCTCATCTCCAAAGGTAAAAAAAAATATCAGTATTAATGTGTTCACTTTTATTTACTGAGTGTCAGGAAGCACAGAGTGCCATTGGGTAGGGGTGTTGCTGATTGGCTAGAGCGGTCAGCTGGCACTCTAAGCCAATCAGTAGCTCCCCATTCATAAAACTATTTTATGAACCGGGAACTAGCGATTGGCTTAGAGCGTCAACTGGCCACTCTAGCCAATCAGCGGCACCCATGCCTGACGTCAATCTGAACTTCCTGACACTCTCTTTCAGAAGCCAAATACCACTGAGCAACCTGGAGCTGGAGGAAGCCTTTGGGGTTAAACCATTTGAGAGTGATTTAACCCCTTAAAGGAAAGCGAGCACCCAGGGGCTTCCTGGCATCATAGCATTTTCATTTAGGTGATGTTGTTATGGTGACCAGGGCTGCTTTTTATTCCCAGTCCTGCCCTGCCGGTGGGCCAGTCCAGCCCTGATGGAAGGTAACGAATACAAGCATGAAAAATAAATTAGGCAATCTAAACATGTTTTAATGCTTTGAGGATTG